CTCGAAGAGAAATTAAATATTCTCGATTTTAATGATGATTATATTGAAAATATCTTTTGATTGTAATTATAATCATATTAATAATAGATTTTGATTGTAATGATAATCATATTGATAATATCTTTTGATTGTAATGATAGTCATATTGATGTTAATATCTTCTGATTATAATGATAATCATATTGATAATATCTTTTGATTTTAATGATATTCATATTGATAATATCTTTTGATTGTAATGATAATCATATTGATAATATCTTTTGATTGTAATGATAATCATATTAATACTATCTTTTGATTATAATGATAATCATATTGATAATATCTTTTGATTGTAATTACAATCATATTAATAATATCCTTTGATTGTAATGATAATTGCTGGCAACACAGTATATTCATGCCTCTGTCGTCAATTATAATTCAAAGGAAACACAGACATAGAACATACCTAAAATTCGTCTCTTTTCAATAAATCATTAATGGCAAAATGGTTGTGTCGATCATAGTTGGAAAACAAAACGTGGGATAAGGGATTAAATAAAATAATAATATTTCACTTCCCTTCACAATAATTAACTAATACTTATATTTGTCAAGTTCTCTTTAAAACCTTCACGAGTCTCGCACATTATAAGGCAAGAGGTTAAATTTCGAAAGCTGTCTGTCGACACTTTCGATAGACGTAGCGTTGCAAGCGTCATCAAATCGCAAGTTCCGACAGCGGCGATGAAAGGGCAACGGTAGCGGCAAAGTAAAAACATTGTAAGCAGTAGAATTGAACCGCTTTCGCCGGTAATATTGGTTGTTGCTAGTCGGTGTACGTGCAAAGCTGTACAAAGCTATTACTGGAGCGACGGAATACCACCTCAGTGGTAATAGCCGGTGTATGGTCAGACGTGGGCGCTGCGGAATTAGCATGAACGCTCGAATACGATACAGGAATGACGATCGATCAGCGGTTGTCGTATTATCGCGCCCGAGACATTGATTGCGCCTCTATCTATACGCCGTCGTCGGATGTTCGGCCAATGAAAAATTGAACGATTATTCTTTGCCCTTTGGAGTAACCGGTGAATGCATAAGCTGAGCGGCAACCGTCGCCGCGAAGCAAACGCGCAATTTACCTGCTTAGTATGCTGCCTCGCGATGCCGGATATATGCACTCGGTGCCTGTCATTTCGATGCGACGGCCCGTCATAACGTGTTCTCGCACTTACCAGCGAAAGGTTTTCATTAACACGTTCACTGTCACGAGAGTTTCTAGAGTTTCGCGCGGTAACACTTATTCTTCGACTCTTTGCACTTGGTTTAATTGAATTAATTGAACTCTTTGGATGTCGGAATTTTTATGAGATGAAGCGCTCGTATTTGGAAGACTGACTCGCGAAATGATTTATATCTAATTTTCATATTTACTTGTTTATTTTATATTTATTTAGTGAATCTGTCGAGTAGCGAGAGGTTAGTAGTTTACTTTTTTTCTGTTAATTAAGCAACTGATATCTAATTTCGAAGAATCTTCGTTTGTAAAGGGTTAACCCTTTGCAACTGATTTAATTAAATTAATTGAATTCTTTGGACGTTGGAATTTTTATGAGATGAAGCGTTCGTATTTGGAAGACTGACTCGCGAAATGATTTATATCTAATTTTCATATTTACTTGTTTATTTTATATTTATTTAGTGAATTTGTCGAGTAGCGAGAGGTTAGTAGTTCCCTTTTTTTCTGTTAATTAAGCAATTGATACGTAATTTGACTTTATATGTTGAACGTTGTATGTTCAGAATATTCGTTTGTAAAGGGTTAACCCTTTGCACTTGGTTTAATTGAATTAATTGAATTCTTTGGATGTCGGAATTTTTACAAGATAAACTGTTCGTATTTGGAAGACTAACTTGTAAAATGATTTAATTAATCGAATAGCGAGAGGTTATTGGTTTCCTTTTTTTCTATTAATTAAGCAATTGATATGTAATTTAACTTCATACGTTAAAGGTTGTATGTTTCTCGCTAGAAATAATTAACATTTTTTAACGAGGCGAAGGTGTTTCTTTGAAGCTAACTCGAAGGGAAATCACAAGTATATTAAAGAACAAAGCTATTTTATTACAATATTTTACGTATTAAGGCATTATGCTAAGTTTAACATTAAATATCAGATTTTATAGTTTCACTGCATCGAATCAAGTGGTGACTGAGAGTCAGCTCCCAAGTGCAAAGGGTTAATAACAAGGACAAACTATATTGGAAAAAATTGGAAGTAATTGTAATTGTTCTTCAACAGTTTGAAAGCAGTCAACGTGTTAATCGTGACGGAGAGAAGTCGTTTCAGATTTTACTGTTACTTTCGCAGTTTTCTTGGGAGGCTGAAAGTTCGAATTGTTGCAATTGATAACGTTTGAGATTTCTAATCGTGAATGTTTCATCCTTTGCGGACGAAGATTCTTTGAAATATACAAAATATTCAGCGGTAGAAGCTAAAGTATATATCGATTACTTAAATGATAGGAAAAACAGAAACTACGTACTGATCTCTTGCTGTTAGAGTAATTAAATTATTTGTTTATGACTTAATCTTCGAAACATGAGAACTTCGTCTCGTCGAAATGTCGACATTCGTCCGCAAAGGGTTAAACGTTCGCAATGTTGGAATTCGAGATTCCCCGATTGGGAAGCTTGGAAATTCGTAACGTTGGGAGTTTAGATTTTTGCAATTTCTCAGCCTCAAATTTGAAACCTTGGAACCTTAAATACTTGCATTTTTAGAGCTTCGAATTTGAAATGTTAAAAGCTTACATTGGAATTCTTGGAAGTGTGACAATTCGAAGATTCGAGTTCTGAAAATTCGGTGAAAATGCTTTGCACACTTCACTAATCCAATTAATCCGTTTGAATTAAGTGAGGAGCTTACGCCAAAGCATTTATCACGCTACCAACAACTTAAAATCATGTAAAAAGTTCTACGCTACAGTGCTTCTCATCGTCAACGCTTAGAGTGCTGCGTTAATCATGAAAAATTGTTCACGACAGGAACATTTTATTTTTTATTAAAGACGTGTTCCATTTAATTATTCACATATTATTTTAATTAAAAGAATATCTGTCAAAAGTAATCTGGCAAGAAACTATCAATTATTATGCTAATTTATTCTCAATTAAGTACTGCACAAATTTTGTACTTTGATTTTTGTAAATCATTAATGTACGATCTGGCACAAGAAACCAATGACGAGTTGTACTAGTCATTTCAGAAGCTATATATCAATAATCCGAGTCAAGAAACGTAGAATTAAATCAAACAAAACTTTAACCATTTTTTTGTACAATTATCCTTTTCATCGAATAAAAGTAACAACAATTATTCACTATTTGGCATTACAATCTTTGCATTAGACCATTATCAACTTAGTTACGTTATGAAATTGTGAATTATACTAATTATGAAATACAAAAAAAATTTTGATTCGATTATACATGAACTGATTAATATTATGAAATGCAAAAAAAATTTTGATTCGATTATACACGAATTAATATTATATCGTATACAAATTATGAATTATACTAATTATGAAATACAAAAAAAATTTTGATTCGATTATACATGTTACTGTTGTTAAGTAATTCAGAAGCGTCAGTCATTGGTGACTGGCATTTAACAATTGTTAAGACATTGTTAAGGTGTTGACTGAAACCAAATTTAAATTCCAACATTTTTCGTGAGATTGATGTAGCACTCGAGTCGTACAATCATTAGCACGTTGACTGCCACAAGAATTTCTAGCGTGAATAGTAATGTTTATTCTTTAATAACAAAGGCAAATGATAATGAAAACAATTATTAATAGTTTAGTATCAGAGTAATATTACGCTGTGATCTAGCTACTTATGCCAAAATATTTCTCTTTAAAATCAAGTTTTTTATTATAATTGTTCTTCAGCAGTTCGAAAGCTCCAGTCACCGGTGACCGGAAGTCTAGAAATCCAAGTTTAGAAATTTGGAAATCTGGAGACTTGAAAATTTAGAAATCTGAAAATCTGGAGATTTGAAAATCTAGAGATTTGGAAGTTTAAAAATTTGGAAATCTGGAGATTTGAAAATTTAGAAATTTGAAAATTTAGAGATTTGAAAATTTAGAAATTTGGAAATCTGGAGATTTGAAAATTTAGTAATTTGAAAATTTAGAGATTTAAAAATTTAGAGATTTGAAAGTTTTGAAATTTGAAAATTTAGAAATTTGTAACTGTTTTTCAGCAGTTCAAAAGCTTCGGTCACCGGTGGCCATCGTGGCAGTCAACGGTAACACGTTCAGTGCCACGTGTACCACATCTGGTACACGTTAATTTTTCTAACAAAATATTTTCAAGGGACACATGGTCAAGAATATCCGTATACGTTACAAAGCACCGATATCAAAATATATAAAATTAAAAAAAAGCTTGAATATAACTTAACCCTCTGCGGGCCCATGTAACTTTGAAGTCGCATATCAGTATATTGGCATCTTGTTGATTTATTTCATTTTGCATTCAAAGTGGTGAATAAACTGAAATAATCTGTTAACTTCAACTTTTATACGCGCAGGCGTGAAAGTTTAACGTCATTGTAACTCGAAAGTTACGAAATATATTCGTTCGATGAAATTATGGGAACTATTGAATACATTCTTAATTCGTATTCATATGTGGATATTTATTAATTTTCTACCGCATAGATTTCCTTATAATCGTGAACAAAAATTCGGCCCATAGGGGGTTAACATATTATTTACAAAATCGATACAGTTCATAAGCGACACATGATCAAAATTTCCGTGGCACGGAGCGTGTTAACAGCACGAAGCGCTCAGCTGCGTCGCATTCAGTACTCCAAAGGTTAAATTGCCGAACAGCGCTTTGCTCTGCGTCAACGTTTCGATCATACATCGATGTCTCGTCGAGGAAGAGCATCGTGCCACCGATTAGTTAGCAAAGTCTGCCCGTTTGTTCACAGCCGAGGCAGGGATCGCAGTCGCGGCGGAAATGAAGCAACCTGAGAATAGAACCGCCGAAGAGAAGATGGCGCTCCTCGGTAAACCGAAGTTGGGCGAGGTGTTCCGCGCGCAGATCAGGATCAAAGAATCGAAGGAGTTCAAGAACACCGTGGACAAGCTGGTCCAACGGGCGAACCAGTCGATACTGCTCGGTGAGTACAGATTCTACTCGATTACTCAGTTATTCGCTTTTCGGTTGTTTCTGTTATTCAGTTCTGTAACATCTGACTCGTTCTACGGAGAATAATCGAGTCCTTTGGTCGATGAAAAGTTAGTGAGAATATTTGTAACACTGAAAGTATTCGAATGTTGAATTGGGATCCTGAGGACCACCTTCGTGTATCGAGAGGGAGGGAGTGGGTCTAAGGGGATTATAAAAACTCTTTAGAGAGGCAGAGTTTAGAATTAGAACAGAAACAGCATCAGTCAGAGTTTAGAATCAGAACAGAAACAGCATCGGTACAGTTAGAACACAGTTTAGAATAAGACTAGAAACAGCATCAGTCAGAGTTTAGAATCAGAACAGGAACAGCATCAGTACAGTTAGAACACAGTTTAGAATCAGAACAGAAACAGTATCAGTATAGTTAGAACACAGTTTAGAATTAGACCAGAAACAGTATCAGTATAGTTAGAACACAGTTTAGAATCAGAACAGAAACAACATCAGTACAGTTAGAACACAGTTTAGAATCAGACTGGAAACAGCATCAATACAGTTAGAAAACAGTGTAGAATCATAACAGAGACAGCAACAGTTTCCGGTTATTTCTATTATTCAATTTTACAACTTCTAACTCTTTCTACGGAGAATAATCAAGGACTTTGGTAAACGAAAAGTTAGTGAGAATATCTGTAACACTGAAAGTATTCGACTCTTGAATTGTCTGGATAATGGTTATTTCATTGTACTAATTAGGGAAATGTGTTCATTGAGAGTTCGATTGATTTCAGTGAAGTTCAAATTTGAATTAGTGGTTTAATGTATTTGGGAGATTCTTAGGGAAGTATGTGTTTTTAATGAGTTTGAGAAGAGTCTAAAATTGGGTATTCTGATTGGTTTGTGTTCCATTATGCAAACTAAAATAGTGTGTTCATTGAATTTTAATTATTATTTTAGAATATGAGTCAGTGATTCGATGGAATCAGTAATCTACATATGTATATTTTCCAAAATTTCAAACGGAGGGACTCAAAACAGCTCGTTTGGATAGGTTCGAAATTGATTGAAATTTTAATTAACATTATTTTGTAATACGAATCAGTGATTCGATAGGTACAACAATTTTCTAGAAATATATATTTCCCAAGAATTTCAAGACCCAAAATAGGTCGTTTGGTTAGGCCCAAAATTTACTGAAATTTTAATTAACTAACATTTCAGGATATATATTACTAAATCAACATAGCTAACAACTTATCACGATGTATATTCTTTCAAAAGTCGCAATCAAAGGACTCCACAATAGTTAATTTAGACGCATCCAGAAGTTCGCACGTGGAACGTTCCAATTTCTGTCTCCGGTCAATTAAATTCAGATGAAGCCGATAGCTACCGGCAGCAGGGTAGTTCCGAAAACTTCCGTAAACGACGAGTTAAGTCGACGTTAGAAGCGGAAAGGTTAAACAGCCACTTCGCAACCCTCTCACGTGTTCACTTTGGAAAGAACCTCTCGCTGCGCAACTTCCAGACTCTCCGAAACTCGTTTCTCGCCTGGCTCCTCGAAAATACACACCCCGGTCTGACCAACTTTTGAATATTTTCAACCCTGAGCTTCGAGAAACCTGCAAAATTTTTTCCTCGACTCCGCCGAATTTCCCTTGACTCCGATAACAGTTTTTGGAAATGGCAAGCCCTTCGATTCCTCGGCGTTCTATAATTTTTCAACGTTTTTCGTTCGCGTGTCTTGAATCTAAAGTGGATTTTAGATCATATTTATTCACGTTAGGCTAAATTATAAATAACAGTGAATAAACCTTGAATGGTCATGAATTATCATATTAAATTATTATTATCATATTATGTTATTATTGTATATTGATCGTCATCATATTATATCATTGTTATATATTAATCATTATCATATTATATCATTATTATATATTAATCATTATCATATCATACTATTATCATATATTAACCATTATCATATTATATTGTTATTATATATTAATCATTATCGTATCATATCATTATCATATATTAATCATTATTATATTACATTATTATTATATATTAATCATTACTGTTATATTCACCATAAATATCCACAATGACTAATTAATATCCTAAAAACGTGAAACACGTCAGAAAACAGAATCCAAAGTTTGAAAATTATTTTTTAAAAATTATTCCTCAATCGAACCTACAACTTTTCTTCTAAAAATCATTAAACCCACAAAACATTATAGACACGTTCTCAAATGTTTACCCATGGAAATTCTCCAATTTTAATTATTCCTCGATGTCGTTTCTTTTATAATCGTTACAACATTCGTCACGCCAGAGATCGAGATCGAAAGAACACGATCGAACGCGGAAAACAATTTTCCAGTGAGAACACCGAAGGTGTCCTTGTTCCGGTCGGCGGTCGTAAATTCAACGCTGAATGGACGTTGATTGAAACGAGACGTTCGGGGAGACCGCTGACCTACCGTACGACGAGACGAAACGGAAATGCCCCCGGTGAAGAGCAATTGGACGAAAGAAAGTCGGCCTTTGTGCGCGCGTTTGTCTCGTCAGTCTCGCGCCTTCCTCTTCCGGCGAGGATAATTCTCCATTCGGGGTTACTTCCCTTCAATTCGAGCCTCTTGCTCGGAGCTTCCTCGCGGAAACGTCTATATCAGGGTTTCTCAACCCTTTTTTCCCTTATGGTTAACACTTTGACTGCGACGGTGGTCACCGATTACCAGAGCTTTCGAAAATAATAATTCAAACATTCTTTTTCTTTTGGAAATGATAAAATAATTACGACTTGGAAGATAATTAATTTCGAATATGAATTTTCTGTAACGTAAATAACTAGATAACAGGGTGATATAAGAACTTCAAAAAATAATAATTAAAAAATGTTTTTTCTTTTGGAAATGATATAATAATTACGACTTGGAAGATAATTAATTTTGAATATGAATTTTCCGTAATATAAATAACTAGATAACAGGGTGATATAAGAACTTCAAAAAATAATAATTAAAAAATCTTTCTTCTTTCAAAAACAAAATAATTACGACTTGGAAATTAATTGATTTCGAATATGAATTTTCTGTAATGTAAATAATTAGATAATAGAGTGATATAAGAATTTTCATATCAAAGAATTAATCATTTTTGCTTTGTATCTTTGCTATAAATGATAAGTGATATATGAGGCACATTTTCCTCTCCATTTGATTTAAGTCAACGAAATTATAAAATTTCGAATTCAATATTAAATTTTTCTATAATGCATCAACATCTGGAACATCGAAATAAAATAGTTCTGTTACTTAATTTATGCAAGGTATTTCTTTATGTTAGTTGTAATCATTGATATTTCATCAGAAAATAATGAATATTTGTTGAGAAAAATATTCTCGAGTGCAAAGGATTAATTATAATTAAATACTAATTCTACAGTTCAATAACTAATTCTTCCTTTCCTTCAGCTGGCACAAAAGTTTCTTTTAGCCATATGGCTCTCGTTGAGAAACCTTGGTCTAGATCGATGTCTGACCAATGCCGACTCATTCTACTTCATTATACTCTCACGATCATCGATCCTTACAGGCGATTCTTCGCCAGTTTCACGCGTTCAATGGGCAATCAACGTCACAGAAGATCTTCTGGGATGTAGGTTAATTTATTTCATTCGATATTATCGCGGTTATCGCATTTAATATAACTTTAATGTATCTTCGCGTCACATTTCGGTAGTTACTTCATCAGACATTATAGCATATTAACGCTTTTACATCCTGTCGTTCGATATAATGGCCACTTGGTTCTCGTTAAGACTGTTTTGATGCTCGACGAAACAATCCAGTGAACGGTACAACGATTACCGTGCACTGCATGTTTCGTGCGTTTGTCGGAAAACTGTGTGCACATGATGTGTAAACGAGTTGCTTGCGTAATCCGCTATACGATGCCACTTAGACAGCGAATGGTTGCTGAGATTGCGATGTTTCAGGATTCGGGGACTCGGGAATTCGGAAATGTGGAAATTTGCAAACGAGTAGATTGAGGAGTTTTGCGATATGGAGATTTGGAAGTTTGGAGGTTTGGAAATTGGCGGACTTGGTTTAAGAATTTTTTGAGATTCAGAGGCCTGGGAATTAAAAAATTTGTAAGCTTGAAAATCTAGAGATTTGGAAGTTTAGAAATTTGGAAATCTGGAGAACTGAAAATTTAGAAATTTGAAAATTTAGAGATTCGAAAGTTTAGAAATTTGAAAATTTAGAGATTTGAAAGTTTAAAAATTTCAAAATTTAGAGATCTGAAAATCTGGAGATTTGAAAATTTAGAGATCTGAAAATCTGGAGATTTGAAAATCTAGAGATTTGGAAGTTTAGAACTTTGGAAATCTGGAGATTTGAATATTTAGAAATTTGAAAATTTAGAGATCTGAAAATCTGGAGATTTGAAAATCTAGAGATTTGGAAGTTTAGAAATTTGGAAATCTTGAGATTTGAAAATTTAGAGATTTAAAAATTTAGAAATTTGAAAATATAGAGATTTGAACGTTTAGAAATTTGAAAGTTTAGAAATTTGAAAGTTTAGAAATTTGAAAATTTGGAAATCTGATAATCTGGAGATTTGAAAATTTAGAAATTTGAAAATTTAGAGATTTGAAAGTTTAGAAATTTGAAAATTTAGAGATTTGAAAGTTTAGAAATTTGAAAGGTTAGAGATTTGAAAATTTCGAGATTTGAAAATTTAGAGATCTGAAAATCTAGAGATTTGAAAATTTAGAAATTTGAAAATTTGGAGATCTGAAAATTTAGAGATCTGAAAATCTGGAGATTTGGAAATTTAAACAAAATATATCATTATTCTGCCTTCACGCTCCAAATGCTTCAAATCCAGGAAATATGATATGCACAACTATATACAACAGCCCCAAGCAAAATGCGACTATTCCCAACAGCATACACAATGATTATACAAGAG